TATATATATATTTTTTTTTTTTTAATTTTTCGTTATCGAAAACAATGAAAATGTGAGAGGGACAATATATATGCGCGTTTCGAAATAAGGGATAGTTTTATTGCTCGCAATACGGAAAATGTATGGAGCCTGCCGGAGGCAGGAAAACGGGCTGCTAAGATATTCCAGCCGGTGAATAAATTGCCGATGGCAAGGCCGCGAACTAACGGGCGCCAGTCTGGCGTCGATACTCCTGCTGTCGGTTGCACCACGTGCTTCGAGCGGGGATTCGTTCGATACGCGGATAAGAGCATGTAATCGCGAACGTTGCAAAACCGTGAGTCATTTTCACGAAAAGATAATTATCCACGTGGTTGAGGAAAAATTCAGAAATGAAAATAACTTCTAATCATTATCGTTAAATTAAAAGCAGAGAGCGAAAAGAATTTTTTCGCTACTGAATAAAAATAGTCACACGTAAAAAAGTGATGAAAATATCAAAAGAGAATAATAAACTAGGAATGACATTTCTCTATTCTCTCTGAAATCTCTAATTGAAGTTAGACGCAATCATATCACAGATGCAATCGAGAGAAAGATATGTCATGCATCCTCTCAACGCTATGTCATGCTATGTGCATGCAGGTTAAAATTTAATTCGATATAAAAATCGAATAAGTTTTTATCAGTTATGATCAAATGTGTATAATTCTCGACATTTTATATATAAATTCGTTTAAAATGTATATAATTCGCACATGAAAAAAAATGTAAAAAATAATCATTGCATTTGATTAATTTTTCCTACTGCAAAAAGAGAGAAAATAATTGAGAAATATGCAGTATTGTACAGATAACATGTTTTGTGAGTCAATTAATAATATTACTGAACTTATTGTATACAGCAATTTTATCTTCTTCTTGAAAATTACAGCAAATTATCGATTAAGGAAAATGCAAGTTTTAATTGAATGGTGAATCCAAAAAATGTCAAGACAATGTGATGATCCAAAATGTATTGCACTTAAAGAAAAATTTACGTAAGAAATATAGTTTCGTTATAAAATTGTATATATTTAATTAAGCAACATTGCGTGTAATAAAATTTCTTAAATTTTATATAGCGTGTACACATGTCTCTTGTAAGCTTAATATGAAACTTAGCATCTTGTAAAGATCCTACGTCACTTCGTAAAAATCTAACAATCGGATTGCAATCGGATTCTTCATGAAATACCATAGAGTAGGATCTTCATGAAATGCTGCGTTTTATGATAAGACTATGCAATATACACAGTTTAACTTCGCGCTATATATGTGTACATACTTGCTAAATATTGTCTTTATCGTTGATAGCACTCATAAATATAAAAACAAAGAGAAAGATCCGAGACCGTCTTCAACATCATATCAAAATTCTTTGGATAATTCTATTGCACCACAAAATAAAAGGCAGAAACGTACAAAATCAGAACCAAAGCACTCGAAAGATAGCTCGAAAAGTTCGAAAATGTTGTTTAATAAATCGAAGGCTTGCAAAAAGTATTAAATAATTCATTATATATATTAGAATATTTTCCAAATAAATTAATTTAATGCGGAATTTTCTTGTAAACAGAATTAATTATGGAGTATTTATCTTGTAATTAATTTTTACACATTGCAGATATTTAAAAAATTATCAGTATTGATACATACCTGTACAAAATATATATAAATCAATTTAATACGTTTTAAAGAAATTCGTCAATATATATATATATATATATATATATTATTAATATATCACCTGCTGTCAGAAAATGAATTGTTTTGTGCATACTTGTTCCTGAATAGTTTCTACTTTTATATTAACTTTGTTCTTTTTT